ATCCAGTCTACCACCGCAACATATCTCCATAACAACCTGTTCTCTGTGATATAATGAGTTACAATGACATTTTGAATACTCATATTCCCTATCTGAACTGAGAATTCCTTCCCTAAAGTCAAGAAAAGCATTAGTTTCATGATACTTTTCTTATTAAGTAGATTACACTTGGAAAATAACTGGGTTTGTAATCCTTACAAAATTTTTGAATATAATGATATGGTAAAGGACACGGGTTACAAGTTCTCTGCTCATGATACTACAGGATTCGCATCTCTACCTCATAAAGTCATTCATTTAGATAAAGTCAGTAACCTACCCATGTCCAGTACTATTGTCCTCTCAGATTTGCATCCACTCCTCAACTCACAAATGCCTCCTTGACCCCCAAATTTCTTTCTTCTCTCAATATTTCTTTCATGAGACTTATGGTAGTTCACATAATTGATTAAGTTGTGCAATCACTTTCAATTATTCACTACCTTCCCCCCAAAGCAACCCTTTCTATAAAACAGAAAATATTTCTACTTTGTTTCACTTTATATACAGGGATGTCAATATTGACATGTTTTCTTATTTCTTAAATGAGAAGTGATGAAACTCAATGAATCTGGAATCAAAGTATAGTGCACCAAACCAATGAATTTCGGGAAATGATTAAAAGAGTAGCCAATTTCAATGAAAGACATAGGCCATATATAAATCCTTCACCCATATCACTTTTATCTCTGAAAGCCAGCTATGAGTCATAAACCAGTGAAGAGAGTCTATCTGAGAAAGAAGAAAGATGTAATGGTAAATATGAAATGGGTTAAGAAGGATGAGAGATCCAGGTACTCTGAGGCCTCTGCTGTAGGTGATGTGGACAGGCTACATCAACATCACTAAAAGAACAAAGGTGCTTGTATTAGCAGCTTCCATAAGATGCTTGGGATCCCTAGAAGTTGTACATAGATTCCACTTTTCTCAGAGACTATGGAATTTTTTACAATTTTGAGCTGAGATTATCATATACCAATCTCTACTAATATGAGGATATTGAGGAACAGTTCTACCTATATGATATTGAGACTATCACAACATCCAGAAAGCCTTAGTTGAAGACATCTTCTGACCAAAAGCAGTATGCTTTGGAGGATTAAAAGTGTGACTTACTCTCAGATCCATGTTAATTCATGTCTCAGTGCTCCTCTTGAAATTCATCTTTAATCCTTCAATTCAGTGACTTCTGGGCCTGAAGATAAAATTCGTTCTATGGTTGCTACTGACTCTGTTTCTGTTTCTTCTCCCAGGCTGTGTTTCAGCTCTGAAAGTAGATATTCTCCTAGTCCGTTTATAAAGAATGAAAAAAAGAATATCAGAACTTAGTGTCCATACTTGATGCCAGGAGTACACACAAAGTAGCATATGGGAGATGGAAGTCAGTAGATTCAGCACAACATAGTGTCTAAGGGTTGCTTCATTCTGGACCTTATAGTTTTTTTTGTATATTCCTTATCTGTTCTTGACAATTTAAATTATTTATATTTTTGATTTGCTTCATTTTGCAATGTAACAAATGTTTTAATCTCTTATGGTATACAAAGTAATTATATTACAGATGCACAAAGTGTAATAAATAATTCAATATCATATATCTCAATATATGAATACATCTCAACACATACATGTATCATTCCATTGATGTGTGGACTGTTCTGGTGTTATTGTGCATTATGTGTTGCAGGTTTTGCAATAGATTTCAGAAGTATATTCTCCCTGTTGAGTCATACTTACAGTTTCTGGGCAACTTCTCCATATTCTGTCAACAAACATGAGCCCACAGCACTGGTATCTGTTCTTTATCTTCATGTTCCTAAGTGTTTGGTGTCTTTAGGCTGCACACAAATGTTTTTTTCTGCATTTGTCTTACTTAACTTTGGAAGGTAGCTTAACAAACAAGTCAGAGTAACACATGGCCAGTTTATCTGTGGAAACAATAGTATGTGTAGAGGAAAGGCATAAAACTTAGAGGAAGGGCCAGAAATGGAGACAGCTGTATATGACATAGTAAGAAATATATATGAATTTTCTTAAAGGTAAAGTAAATAGACAAGTATCATTGAAGTGGTTCCTTCCCTGATATGTTATCTGTTTCCATAAAACCTGCAAACAAAATTCCAGAAACCAGTCCTAGGAATATTGATTTATTCTTATATAAACTTTATTTGTTTGATTTACTTGAGGCTTTGCCATTTTTATGTCAAAGTAACAGGTTCAGTTTTAATCTGTGTTTTGTCATCATTGGTTTCTTGTTATTTTTCTTATTTTCACATACTATTATGTTTTCTTAGGGTTTGTTAGCTTCATGCACTATTACCTTACATACCTACAAATATAAAGTTCATAGTTGGCCATGAACAAAAATATTATCATGTGTAATTTACAAATTTACAGAACTATAAAACCATTCTTTGGTAATACTTATCCTCTTAATTATATCTCTTAATGCCAATTTTACAATTATATAATTATTCTTTCAGATCTTTGTTCAGGAAAATAAGGTATGTTGCTCAGAAAATGTAAAGAAAACATGAAATTAATTATTACACCTATTTTGTTTTCAATTTACATGAATTGCACTCACCAATGTCACGTAAATCATATTTTTCCTTCTCCATACATAAAACAAAAAAATGAGCCAAAGTTGAAGCAACTTTATGAGGAGTGAGGATGTCTTGGTGGCAGTGGGGTCCTTAGAGAGTTTTCATGATGAGGTTCAACATAGCTCTCTGTTAAAGAGCATTGATTAATATTGCAGAAGATTCAAGTTCAGTTATAATCATCTTGTCTGTCTTTAATGCCAGTTTAAGGATATCAAACATTTGTGACATCTTAGAACACCTTTACCCACAGAACACACATAAAGACACACACACACAGATGAACAAAAGTGTGTGTGTGTGTGTGTGAAAAAATAAAATAAATCTTTAAAAAGATGTATAAACTCAGGAATGTGTTTGTAAGTATGTATTATGAAGGTAATTATGAACATAGAAGGTAAATAAAGATTACCTATTTCAAATACATCTTGATCATCCAATCCAAATGCTTATAGACACAAAACTTGTTTTCCAAGAAGATGATAGTTATAAGAATAATTCTCAACCAGACTTATAACTTAAATCAGAACAAATGAAAATTCTAATGATCAAGAAAAAATGTAATTGAAAGGAAGATTGGCTTGGAAAGTTTCAGGAGGTGTTGAAAGAAGAGAGACTGGGACAGAGGTCTGATCACCAAAATATACAAATAACTCGAAAAATTTGTCATCAAAAGAACAAATAATCCAATAAAAAATGGAGTACAGACATAAACAGAGAACTCTCAGCAGAGGAATCTAAAATGGCTGAGAAACACTTAAGGAAATTTTCAACATTCATAGTCATCAGAGAAATGAAAATCAAAACAATTCTGAGATGCCATCTTACACCTGGAAGAATGGCCAAGATCAAAACCACTGATGACAACTTATTCTGTAGAGTTTGTGGGGTAAAGGGAACACTTCTGCATTGCTGGTGGGAGTGCAAGCTGGTATAGCTCCTTTGGATGTCAGTGTGGCGATTTCTCAGAAAATTAGGAGACAACCTTCATTACGACCCAGCAATATCACTTTTGGATATATATCTAAAGGATGCTCAACTGTGCCACAAGGACATGTGCTCAACTATGTTCATAGCAGCTTTGTTTGTCATAGCCAGAACCTGGAAACAACCTAATTGCCCTTTGACCAAAGAATGGATAAGGAAAATGTGGTACATTTACACAATGGACTACTACACAGCAAAAAAAAAAAATAATGACATCTTGAATTTTGCAGGAAAAATAGATGAAGCTAGAAAACATCATTTTGAGTGAGGTAACCCAGACATAGAAAGACAATTATCACATGTACTCGCTCATGGGTGGTTTTTAAGCATAAAGCAAAGAAAACCAGCCCACACATCACAATCTCTGAGAATTAAACAATGATGAGGACCCTTAGAGAGACATACATAGATCCAATCTACATGGGAAGTAGAAAAAGACAAGATCTCCTAAGTAAATTGGGAGCATGGGGACCTTGGGAGAGGGTTGAAGGGGAGGGGAGAGGCAGGTAGGGGAGCAGAGAAAAATGTAGAGCTCAATAAAAATAAATTAAAAAAGAAAACAGTCACCAAAGTTGAAATGGGAAATTAAAAATTCCTCTTCCAAGTATAATAATAGAACCAATGTGTCTAAATCTTATGCCAAGAATCAGAACTTATTACCTCTGGTGCCAGAGAGTACTTAAGTATCTAAGAGGAGGACTTAAGTCAGATGGTCTCCGCACAATATAACATCTTGATAATACAAACAAAAGAGTCAGTCTCACAGAAACAAATAAGAAAAAAATAGAATTGGAAAATGCTTGTCCTTGGCTGCAGTAAATCAGAACATTGTGACGAAAGATGTGAAAGTCCATAGGAGCTGAGGGAGGAAAGAGAGCAGAATCTGCTTCTAACCCTGCAATAAGGAATATTTGACTTGAGGCTATGGAGCCACCTTGAGTTTATAGCCTCACACTGCAATATCATAAATAAGTCTTTTCTTAGAACACTGTGCTGAAATTGACCAACATCACTTTTGAATATTTGGGGTCTGAAATTGTTTCTCTTTGCAATTGTGTCTCTTTGTAAAATGACATGCTGTGACATGTGGATGTTCATTCCCTGGCTTAGAAAATACACAGGGCAGGGGGAAATCTGTGAAGAATAGAGAAAAACTCAGTATTTTTTAGAAAGACTTTTCAGAGACCTGGGAATTTGACCAAACGCCTGCACTGGGGTAATAGAGAAGTTCCCCTTCTGGTAATAGTAATGATGCGGCAAACACATGACAGGAAGCATCTGCCCTCAGAATGAAGACAGCTTGTCTGATGGTTCTACAGAACTTGGTCAGACAGTCCAGGAACACAAGCAAGAAATATAACAAGACTCACTATGACCCCGATGCTCAGAATGCTGTTGTGCCTTGGTGAGATATGAAGAGGGAGAGTAGACATTCAAGTCTGTAAGGAACCCTACTCCAAAGCCAACTCTGTTTTCATATGGAGAGACAGGGGGATTCAGCCCAACTCTCAGATTAAATAAAACACTCAAAGAGAATTTTTTTCCAGGTCTGAGTATGGGACACAAGACTGCAGTGCTGGCAGGTGAGTGTCTTCATCCATTCCAAGATTTTATTCCTCATTCTAAAGACCAGAAAGTACTTTTTCTGCCATCTGGGTCAACTATTTATGATGAGCGTAAAGAAAAGAGTATGTGGATAATGCTGTAATTTCGATGAATTCTCTCTATTAAAACCTGGGGTCTGAGCAGGAGAACATACTGGGACTCAACCTTTGATTTTCTTGCAGGAATCCTCCAAAAACCCACCATCTGGGCTGAGCCAGGCCTTGTGATTGCTCAACATATGCCTGTGATTATTTGGTGTCAGGGATCCTGGGAGGCCCAGGAGTACTATATGCATAAAGAGGGAAGCATAGATCCTTGGGACAGACAGTTCCCTCTGGAACAGAAGAACAAGGCTAAGTTCCACATTGATGAAATGTCAAAGGATTTTGCAGGGATATACAAGTGTTACTATAAGAGTCCTGCTGGCTTGTCAGAGCACAGTGACACCCTTGTGCTGGTACTAACGGGTGAGTGGAGACTAATGGGTGCCAACAAATCTCTCGCCTCAGGAGTTCAACTCTCCAAGGAAGCTTCTCTCAGAGCCCAAACCTGAAGGGCAATGTAGGTAGCTTGTATTCATTTCACATATTGCCCCTTGTATTCTAGGAGCCTATGATGAACCAAGCCTGTATGTTTGGCCCAGCCCTGCTGTAACTTCAGGAGAGTGCATAACCATGCAGTGTATCTCATCACTGGGATTTGACAGATTCATTCTGATCCAGGAAGGAAAACATAACCTCTCATTGACCCTGGACTCACAGCAACTAACCAACATGCTATTTCAGGCTCATTTTGTTCTGGGCTCTGTGACTGCTAACCACAATGGGACATTCAGATGCTATGGCTGTTTTATGAATAATACTCAGATGTGGTCAATATCAAGTAATACCATTGATATTCAAGTCTCAGGTAAGGACCCTAACCCAGCCTTTCTTAAGGTAAATGGTAACTCACATATCTTCTCTAAGAAGAGCTCTGGCCTAGAATAAGAGTCAGAAAACCCAAAGTAAGAAAACTCTTAAGTCCAAAAGTCTTTCTCCTCTCGTAGAAAAAAAAATAGCATTCCCTTGATGCAGGTGCTCCCCTCCATTGCTCACTGGAATTTAGAAAATTCAGGAGGGTTTAAGGGGAATACACATTTGATAAAGTGACAAGGCATTGTCTCTGTACTAGTTATGCTTATATTTTCATGATAAAACAATATTCTGAAAGAACTTGTGAAGGATAGGGTTTATTCCATCTGGTAGCTTACAGACAGGCACCCAAGACAAGGAAAGAGAGATCTGGTCAGTCATCCTCATCAACTTAGACAATGAAATCCAATATGGGCTGCCTATGCATGCTTCAGCACTTCCGTGGCATAAGTTTTATTCCTTTTTCACTCAAGACAGGAACTGAAATAGAGGCCATAGAAGAGCCCTGCTTACAGGCTTACCCTGGAGTGGCTTGTTCAACCTGTTTCCTTATAACATCTAGGTCTAACTGCCCAAAGTTAGAACCACACACAATGGACTGGGCCTTCCGATATCAATTATCAATCAATCAGAAAAATTCCCCAACAGACTTGCTGACTGGCTAATATAATGAAGGCACTTTTTTCCATTAAAGTGTGTCTTCCCTGATGACTCTAGTTTGTATCAAGTTAGCAAAACATAATGAGAGCAGTGTGGATTGGTTCTTAACTTCATGTCCTAAAAGTTATTGATCCAGTATCACAGAAACACCTTGTCACACAAAGTTCATGATAAACAGAGTGCAATTACCTAATCAAGAAATTCTGAATCCTTCAGAATCTCAATTATCCCCTTATATTCAGTTATAAAGTTAGCCATGTCTGGGTGGAGTTAAACTGTGATCTTGATGGATATCCAAGAACACAGAGGCACAAAATTTAATCTGCAAGAGGGTGATAGTCAGTTAGAAGTGCCTAAGGTTAAAATTGAGATAGAAACTGACAGCCATAATCAAGGGCTTGGAACTCTCCATGCAATACTTCCAGAACCCAAGGACCAGTTTTCCAACCCCACTGAGAATGGTAAGAGAGGGAATGGGAAGTGGGTACAACATTATGTGAGATCATTATGAGTTGGTAAAACCTCTGCTGAAATTGGGAATCTTGGGAAAGTGGACTTGATCCTCACTTAGAAGCAGCAGAAAACATTTTAACTTGATCTGCAGGATAAGATGCCATAAGAATAACATGTATTTATGAAAAAATAAGAATTACTCAAAGCACAAAAAGCCAAGAGAAATGCCTCAACTCTCTTTAGCCCTTTATCTAATATACCCAAACTACTTGCTTCTCTGGGGAAGCTCAGGCCATGAGAACATGAAAAAGAGTGAACATGTAAGAATAAGGTGAGATGGAGAACTCTATATTAGAGATAGACACAAAGGTTGTAGTTCTTTCAAGGAAATGGGGCACTGAGTGCATAATCATTTATTCTGAGAAGTTTTGGTGTGACCTGACTTCTTTGACCTCTTTCTGCAGAATCCTCAGAATTACAGCACGACGGTCACACAATTGCAAACCTCATCCAGATGGTTGTGGCTGCCTTGGCTCTAGTGACTCTAGTGATTCTTCTGTTAGAGGCTTGGCACAGCAAGAGAGTTGAAAAACATGTAACCAGGAGATAAACAAAAACATCCATTACATTGTGCAGACCATGGGAAATAAATCTTGTTTCCCGTACAAGAAAGTAATTATTGTAAAGAAAGTTGGATATACATTAAGCTATCAAACTCTTAGATGGTCCAGAAAACAAATGTGTGGTATAGGAGTTTCTTCTGAATGCTGGAAGGAAGAAAGGCAGAGGAAGAGAGACACCATGGAGCCGTCAGGGACAAATATGCTGAATCTTTCCCAGTAAGCCACCGCCACGTGGTGATACACAGATTAATTGAAATGGGTTAAACTGAGATGGAAGAGTTAGCCAATAAAAAGTTAGAGCTAATGGGACAAGTAGTGTTTTAATTAATACAGTTTCTATGTGGTTATTTCAGGGCTAGGCTAGCCGGGTGGCCAGGATAAACAAGGAGGCCCTCCACCAATAAATGTGTTCTGGATGTAGGAAACTCTGAAGCATGTTTTCAAGACCACTTTGGCTGCTCTTTGTACTCCTTTCTCCACAATTCATCATGGATATTTGTTCACTTCTTCCTCTTCTTATTTCCATACCTCATGCATGTGTTGGGCCCAACTTTCCCTCTCTTTCAAATAACATTTTCCTTTACATAGACAGATCAATGTTGTTCACAATGAGCATTTACCTTTCCTACTGAGAAAAGAGAAAATAAGTCAACTGTTCTACATCTGGCCTTTGCTAATTGCCTTATATACTCAACCCACAGTCACTATCATAACTCCAAGATAAGGTAACATGTGTGGACAACAGGAGCTACATAAAGTTGATATTTTTTCTTGTAATTTGATATCTCACTGTTGATTGATGTTTAACACAAAGGAATTGTCTGGTATATGGCCTTAATGTACCAGGATTCATTAATTATGAATATTGACTTTTACCCTACAGTTAAAATCATGGTTTCTTTTAAAAGAATATTTTGTTAATTCTTTGACAATTTCATACAATATATTTTGATTATATTCATACATTCTCCCCAGCTCCTCAACATTTGGCCCTCACCCGCATTCATTCTGAGATAACTTCTGAGAAGATAATCAATTTGTCTGAAATGACATCTCTATTCCTTTGTTGACATTTGTTTACTCTATTCTTTAACAACCTCTCTTTTTCTTTTTGTCAAATTAAGCACACATTGTATTTTCTTTTGTTCTCTGATTGTGTTAGCTAAAATTTCAAGTGCTGTACTTAACATGATGAACAGAAGGAACACACTGCATTCCAAATCAACAACAGGGGACTTTTCTGACTTTGTCTATTAAATATGTTGCCTAAAACTTATTCAAATATGACCTCATTAAAAAGATGATATTAAACATTCTGTGAGAATTTGGAAGAAATGGCAATATCATAATTAAAAATATTGCTTCTTCCATGATCTCTGTATTTGTTCCTTTCACAATAATGTTGTGACATATGACAGTGATGGTTTTTCAAATGTTGAATAAATGTCAGAATACCTTACTATATATTCATTGTGTTGAATTCTGTTTACATATCACTGAATAATTTTTTATTATACATTGATAGTGTATAATATCTAATAGTGTAGAGTTCTAAGAGAAGACATTATCAAAATTCACTATGAGACAGTGTCATACTGCACATGTCATAGGGAAAAACAGCATGGCCACAGTTTTAGTACAGAACTTATGGAACCACCTCCACATGTGTGATCTGTTGCCAGAGAGATATCATTTTGAAGTTGATAAATATGTAAAAAATGTAGAGGAATTTAAAATTCTTATTGTTCACCATTTCATGCATCGATAAGATGCATTTAATCAGTTATGCATACCATTTTTTTTTGCATTCCATTTCTGCATCAATAGAAACTTTTTTCTTAAGAAGCCCCCTCCATTACATGGTCCAGGATTTGTGTGTGATCCACTGAATTTAATAAGAGCCAACTGCCTAAGCACAGGAAGTAGATTATTTAGTGGAGTAAGTAGAAGTCACCTGTGGCTACGGAACTAAAGAAAAGGACAGACTCTCTCACATTGATTACTAATTGCCAATAGTGTCTCTGTAGGGGTGCATTTTACATTGATTATATTTGTTTCCTTTTCTTTAAGATACAGATACTCATTTCATTTTTTATAAAATGTATTTAGGTGTTTAACTAAAGCAACTCATTTTAATCAGACAAAGCCCTGGGTGAAATTAAGACTAGTTTTAGATAGAAGATGAAAAATATCACTTTTTAAATTTAAAGGTAAATTCTTGTTATTTTTGCATTTTTTTCCACTAATTTGTTTTTTTCTTTATTTTTTTTAGTTGTTGAAAAAAAAATTCCGCCTCCTCCCCATTTCCCGTTTCCCTCCCCCTCCTTCCACACATTGCCTCCTCCCCCCACTCCCCTCCCCCTCTCCCCCTCCCCCCCACTCCATTCCCCCTCTCTCTCGAGAATGAAGAGCAGTCCAGATTCCCTGCCCTGCGGGAAGTCCAAGGTCTTCCCACTTCTATCCAGGTCCAGGAGGGTGAGCATCCAAACAGGCTAGGCTCCCACAAAGCCAGTTCATGTTTTAGGATTGAAACCTAGTGCCATTGTCCTTGGCTTCTCATCAGCCTTCATTGTCTGCCATGTTCAAAGAGTCCGGTTTCATCCCATGCTTATTCAGTCCCAGTCCAGCTGGCCTTGGTAAGCTCCCAATAGATCAGTTCCACTGTCACAGTGGGTGGGTGCACCCCTCGTGGTCCTGACTTCCTTGCTTATGTTCTCCCTCCTTCTGCTCTTCATTTGGATCTTAAGAGCTCAGTCCGGTGCTCCTATTTGGGTCTCTGTCTCTATCTCGATCCATCACCAGATGAAGGTTCTGAGATGATATGCAAGATATTCATCAGTATGTCTATAGGATAGGGTCGTTTCAGGTTCCCTCTCCTCAGTTGCTCAAGGTATTATCTGGGGACATCTCCCCGGACACCTGCGAGCCCCTCTAGAGTCAAGTCTCTTGCCAACCCTAAAATGGCTCCCTTAATTAGGAAATATATTTCTCTGCTCCCGTGTCCACCCTTCCTTTATCCTAACCATCCCATTCCCCCAAGCTCCCCCAATCCTACCCTTCTCACGTTTCTCACCCCAATTCCCCTTAGCCCCATGCCACCTCACCCCCAAGTTCCCAGTTTTTGCCCGGCAATCTTGTCTACTTCCCATATTCAAGTGGATGACTATATGTTTTTCTTTGGATTCATCTTCTTATTTAGCTTCTCTAGGATCACAAATTATATGCTCAATGACCTTTATTTATGGCTAGAAACCAATTATGAGTGAGTACATCCCATGTTCATCTTTTTGGGTCTGGGATACCTCTCTCAGGATAGTGTTTTCTATTTCCATCCATTTGCATGCTTTTTCCACTAATATGTGTTCTGAGACATTTTATTCATTTTACCCACCATCATTAATAATATAAATTTTCCAGACATAGCTTCTGGCTAAGATGAAAGTATCTACAATAGGCACTAAAGGAACTGTATTCATGTTATTTGCAATACACATTGTCTCAGTTACACGACGAAAATTAATGATCAGTTTTTTTATTTTAACAGCACTTCTTTGAAGGATCAAAACATGATTTTTTGCTTTGTAATTATTTTAGAATAAAGTGACGTTCCTCGTTTAATAATTTAAAATAAAGTAAGCAAGACCAATGGCCATTGCTTTTAATTTTTGAGGTTCTATGTCAATACGCTGGCAAATAATTCAAAAAGAGGTAACTCATTTCTGTTACTAGGGGTTTTCACTGACAGCATGAGGTGTCCAGTTGGAGTATTGTCTCCCTATTACATGACAGCACTCTGAACTATTTTATATGTATGCACTTTAGGATATTTCTACTTAGTAGGGTTCCACAAGGTTCTCAGGACTTTTAATGTTAATCCCCCACCCATATTTCCTTCTTTGCCCTTTCTTCTCTGTCTGCACTGTTTTTGAATCCTGGGTAAGACTTTAATTGTAATAACCAGACATTATCCATTTAAGAAGAAGTATGGAAATCATAAGGTAACTAAGTGTTATTCTGTGGCTATGGTATAGTATGCTGACAAAAACGATTTAAAGAAAAGATGTATTTTTGGTGTGGGACAATTGTCTGTATTCTGTCAATCATGTTTTAAATAAATGCTGATTGGCCAGGCAGGAAGTATAGGCAGGTCAACCAGACAGGAAGTAAAAAAAAAAGGAATTTAAAATAAAGTATAAATATGTCATTTTTCCTCTCCATCACCTCCTGACTGAACTTCCCATAGCCCCATCCTCACTGTCCACTCCCACATCCAGGGCCTTCTCCTCGCTATTTATTGCTGTTATATATACATAGAATCCTCAAATGAATAAGACCCTCTGAGTCTGCTCATTTCTGTTTGTGTGTATAATTTTCCAGGGATTATCAATTGGTATTTTCCACTTTAGATATTTTGTTTGATGCATGGCATTAATTACCATTTTTGCTTTGATGGAATATCCATTAATGTAAACTATATTAGATATTAAGCTTTCGTATTTTCAAGGTTGGTTCATAGGCCAATGAAAAATAAAAGTGTTCATTCTAAGAGAATAAAGGCATTTGCCTTGCTTGGCTTTCAGGACAATATTGGAGTCAATTGTGTATTAGTCAGGAAGTCCTAGATTCATTTACCACATCCACCTCCTCCTCACTACATTCCCGATATTGAGCTTCCCCATTGTCAATCCCAAATTTACAGCCTCCTCTTCACTAATGATTGTTGCTGCATATACATATAAACCAACATATTATTTGAATGATTGAATACAACCATCTGTATCCATTCATTGATATCTGTGGATATAAGATTTAGGGCTGAGCATGTGGTATTTTGCACATTTGATATTTTGTTTGGTGCATTAATTTCATTGTTGTTTTTACTTTGAGTGGAATATCCATTAATGTAAATTGTGTTAATAGCTATGCTTGATATTTTCAAGGTTTACTTGTTATCTAATAAGAAAATAAAACTTTTCATACTAACACA